ACTGTCATTTGTGGCTGAATGTATCCCAATACCCTCAGGACAAGGAGTCATATTTTTTGGACAGTTCTTAGAAAAATGCGGTTTAATTTTTGCAGGATGGCTGACTAGAGAAGCTGTGGGCTCCAGTTCTCCTCTAGTAGGAGGCTGGGAAGCAACCAAAAGGTTTCTTCCTCGTGAACACAGAGCTGATCATTTATTTTGGGATGCGCTGCGTTCACCTGTTTGTTTGTTTTGGCTGTGGGAATGGATCCTAATGGAGAAAAGTTAGTTATGATACCAGAGAGAGAAGAATTACTTTCCAGGCCTCATGTGGCAGCTGTAAACTTTTCTTCCCTCCAGGCATTGGAACTTGTGTTTAAAAAAAGAAAACAAACAGTTTGTGTACTTTAGTCTATCAGAAATGAATGCCTTCATTGCACATGCCAGCTGTAAAAAGAAAAGGCAGATTCTTCTCAGAAAATAGAAAGCCATTACATTTAGAATCTATCTTGCCTATGTGTTTTTGTTCCTTTTTTAAATTCTGTATTTAGAAATAAAGATCTTTTTAATTCCATAAGATTTCAACTGCTGCTTTTGTTCATTTCTTCTCTCCTGGAAGTTAACATTTTCTGCGTCTACTATTACAATCATTTCTTCTGGGATCTTAGAAATAGGCTGATGACTAGGGATGTGGGATAAGCAATAGAAATAGGTGAACTGAAGAATGATTTTCTTTCTATAAATGTTTGGTAGTAGAGGGGAAAGTGCAACAAAAAGGCATTTAAAGAGAAAGGATTTTAAATAGAATGTGTTAAGATTTTGCTTACAAACATCCCTTTCTTTAAAGGGGATTATTTACTGAGCTAAAATCATTTCAGTTGCTTTGAAAAAAAAATGCATAGGGAAACATAGGGCTTCTTTCAGTCAAGTCTCCATTTATCTAAAAGCTTACCTCCTTTTTTCTTTCTAAAGATTGTGAATATGGGGAAGGTAGATGTGTTTGTTAAGTATAAGCTTGTCCATTGTAGACATGCTTCCTGAAATATTAACTTAATTACCTTAAAATCTAAATTCTCATTGTTAATACCTCTTATGTAAAGTAGCAGCTTGCCCAAGAATTTCATTCTGCTTTGGGATTAAGGATGATGAGACTAATGTTTGAGTGAAGTCTTCACAGAAAACATGCATGCTTCAAGTAAATGAAAGAATGACTCAACAGGTGGAATGATGGACCAGTCTGATGATCAAGTGCGCTGTAGAGATACACAGAAAAGCCTTGGCCGCTGGTAGTCAGCAGAGATAATGCAGGCATGGTCACGGGAGTAGAGCTAACTACATTCAATGTAAATGGCTTCTCCTCTTTTTCAGCTGGATATATAGTTTTTTCACATTTTGCTCTAAATTAACATAAAATGTGGCTGCATATAAACACACTGTTGTGATTCATCTCAAAATGGCTCCATTATTCTGCCAGGCAAGATAATCTGAGATGGGTTAGATATTTCACTTTCTTTTAATGTATTTTGAATTTCTTTCAGAACATAGGGGATGGAAGGAGACTGGAAAGTGGGAGATTTCCTAAACCTTAACTGTCATCATTCTTAGCAAAAGGAATAAGCTTACTCCACCAAAGTTTTTCCTAGTGAATAGCCCAGATGATGATGGCAGTGGGAAGCCTTTCTCAGCAGGGAGAGGAAGATAGCTGTCATCTTCATGTAATCTGACATTCTTAGGCAATGGTCTTGTATTACATCCAGTCTGATTTGATAATGAACTGTTGCTGAAATGGGGATGCAGCTCTTGCCCACTTTTTTCCGATCACATCTTGCAATCTAGCAGTAATGTAGTGAATCAACTTCCAAAATCAAGCTCATCTGTATTTTTGGGAAGTTATTGCTGTTGGGCAAATAGGCTGGTTCCTGATAACTAGGTCAAATGCAGTCAGGAACAGCAGGTGTTCCTGCTGAGGAACAATTTCCTTCCTCTTGAAAAGAAAGTAGTGTACAGGTTGGTGTTGGTCCTTGCTCAGGACACACTTGTGGCCCAGACCTGAGATACTGTTCGGATGCACACTACCTCTGACAGCCCCACGTCCAAGACATGATCCTCTGGGCTTTTAAGACTAGCTGTCTGAAAATAGGCTAGGGAGTAAATATTTATTTAAGGGAGGTTCCATGGAGTCCTTAGTGTGGTGGGAGTTTCCGTCTCCCATGGCATTTTATCAACAGTATGGCAGAAGCATTGACACTGTACCAAAAGCATTGCTGCTGCTGAAGATAAGCATTTTGGTTGAGAACTGCCATCATTCCTAAGACACTTCTCCCATTTCCGTGAAGCACTACCTAGAAGGAGTACTTCTCAGGAAGATAAATTATGTTGGATTATTCAGATACTCCTGCAGGCTGTAATACTTAAGGGGGAGAAGGAGGGATGAACCCCATACTGCAAAGGGACAATCAAGACGATGCTGCTCTGAGCAGCTCAGAATGAATTCCCAAAGGGAAGGAAATTCAAGACAGTTAAATTTGACAGTTTCCCTGTCCCACTTCAAAGCTGAAATACCAGAAAGTAGCATGCAAGTGATAGGTAGAGGTAAAGTCTGAATTATGGATACAGGGATCGCTATGGGCAGTCCTGTCCATAAACAATACCCATTTAGAAGTCTACTAAGATGCCATAGTAGAAAACTATTTTTAATGCTGAAAAGTATGTTTCGCTCAGAGTACTTGTAGTCTTGATCAAATGCCCAGCAGTTCCTAAAATGTTCATTAATATTACAGTAAGTACATTTACAAGACTGAGGTCACTTAACAAAGTATAGGGAAGAGTAGGTGTTGTATTTCTTCCTTTGTAAAATAATTACTACAACTTGCAATTGTCAAAGCCTATGATTGCCAGTTTTCTAACGGGAGAATTCATTTAAGTCAGTGCTTTGGCAGGTGTTCATATTTCGTGGAAAGATCTATCTTCCAGATTGCTAATGAATGGCCAAGCAAGTATCTAGATAGTTAATAATGCTGCTTAATTGCCACAGTCAGATAAAGCTGCCATCAAATCTATTGCTATTCTGAGCATCTGAACACTAGAAGAATGATAAACCATGAGAAAGCCTTATGAGATGTTTGGTTAGTTGAAGTCATTGCCTGCAGTTTTATATATTTCTCTCTCTCAGGTGATCCTTCTAACATTTCCCTGCTTTGACAGAAAATCAGACACATGGTCATACCCCCTTGCTGCCCTCACTTCCACTAGGCAGCTGTTTTCAAAGTAATATAACTGCCCAAGGCATTGCGCAGCCAAGAGTTTCTTCCTGGGTTTATGTATCCATAGTGCGCTAGAAAAGGATGTTGTGTTTTTCTGTATACACCTAATGGAATATAAATGCGTCCACAAATGCGTGTCAGTCAAACATCTGGACTGTACATAGCTTTTCAATGCAGATGGAAAGAAGTGACATGCTGTGCAGAGCATGCTGCAAAGGAAAGGATTGCTGATCTGGGCAATCAGTTGATTTCATCCAAGTGATCATCAGCAGATGCAAGCTTCACTTAAGGATTAAATGATTTTAGGAGAAAAGCTTTTTGCAGGTGATGGAATGGATGGAGGAATAATGTGTGACACGGAAATCTGACTCTGCCTCTGTCAGTCCTGCAGCAGGAAAGGCCTCAGTTGTAAGCGGGTTTAACAAAATTGTCTTATAGAGCCATGTTCACTTGACAAGTAAAATCCCAGGGCTCCCTATCCAGGAACGAACACAAGTATTCAGGGTAAATACCAAGAAAAATGTTAGGATTCTGCTTATCAAATTAAGGATAAATCCTGTACCATGCAGTATAGGAGGACTCAGTCCATGCCCAGAACCTTTTCATGAATTAATTACTTTTATCTGGGAATTAATGGAAAAGAGGTTCATGGGCTTTTCCACTGTACGTGCTATTAAGCTGTCTGGAGACAGTTATGGCCTTTTTCAAATCTGCATCCCTCTGACAGTAGTAAATTCCCATGTCACCGCTCAGGAGCAAGTAGACAACAGAGGTGAAAAATTATGCTAATGAATTGCAATAACCAGTCCCTTTTTATGAGACCGCTTACGCATAAGATCCTGAATCCAAAGTGTTATATCACCTTGTACAGCTTTTCATTGGTAACTATAGCAAACTAAACGCAGCAGCAGTTAAATACAGTCATATACTTCTGAAGAGGCCCTTTGGAACAAAGTGAAGTATATGGGTAAAATTGTTAAAGCGTTAGATAATGTTCTGGGGTTACCATGGTTACTTGAAAATTTTGCATTGTATCATAGATTAGGATGCATAGGATGAAGTAGCCAAAACAACTAGGAAGTCCAATGCATATAAAGTACATTTCCAAACCACACAGCATTGCCAAATAGAAAGACAAATAGCTCAGGGTATTGGCTGCTGATAAATCTATGAATCAATAAAGGGAGGCCTAAACGAGATTTAGAACATATGTGATTTGAAATCCTGCATTATTTTGAAGTTACAATCTTAATTTTTAAAGATAAATTAATTTTGAAAAGAAGAAAAATCCTCAGTAATGTAAAGAGTGGAATGATTTTCCATAAGCTCTTTCTGGTGTTGAAATCTGACATTTGGCTTTGAGACCTTCAGCAAAGAAGGTTGATGAAACATGGATAATACATTTCATGCACTTACGCTGGCAGTAGCACTTACACTGGAAGCAGTTTATTCCCATGGAAACCTATTTGCATTTGGGCCAGTAGTGACTTTTTTCCCCCTCTGTTAGAGCTGCTGATGTTTTAGCATAATGTAATTGCTGTATATTGACAGCAGATTTGAAAAGTATTTTTAAAATGTTGGGTAGCTGAGCATATGTATAATGGAGATGTAGTCTGTGCAGTTTTCCTCTGTAGGATGGAGGCATATTGCTGAAAAATGCAGGGCAGCTTTTGATCTTCTATTATTTATCCCTAAAAGAAAGAAAAACATGTGAGTTAAAATATGTTCATCCCAAACAATTTACTTTTTTTTAAACAGGTGACAAAAGAACTGAAACAGTACGACAATAAAATCATAGAGTGCAAGTTTGAGAACAACAGCTGGGTCTTCATGAGACAGAGAATAGACAAAAGCTTTCCAAATGCCTACAGCACTGCCATGGGTGAGTAGAATAATTTGCTTTAAAAGTCTTTCGGGCTCAAATTTTAATTTTTTAACTCTATTCTAGTTTAAGGAAGAAAGGCACTCTGTGTTCTCATTTCTAGTTTGAGTCCTGGCTTCTCTAACTTACTGTAGTAATACCTCATCTTGCAAATGCTTGCCATGTTTAGCTTTTTATAGACCATGAATCCTTTGGCTTCAGGGTTATTTGATGAAGTCAGTTAAATACTCTGATGCAGTATTTAACAGATAATGCAGAAACAAGTGCCTAAGTCTTTGTAGAACTGCAAAAACTTTCTCAAAGAGAATTTAAATGGTAGGGTATGCCTTTTAAGTGAGACCCAAGAAAGTTTTTCTTTATGATAGCATTGCAACAGCAGTTGACTAACTAACATCAGTTCCTAGCATTGCGTTGGCTTGTTGGGACATAATGCAAACTGGCACACTATGAGTTGAATTTGTTGAACAAAAATCCATTATAATTTCACCGCTATTCAAAATGCCAAAACCTTTATTTGGCAGATGGGCTAGAAAATTAGTAGGAGAAAATGTCATCTTAAGTTTCTACAGTAGTCATACAAACAATGAAGAGGGAAACAAATGAAAGGTGGGGGTATATTCCTGCAGAATTGTGAGACTTTTATGTTCTTCTACCAAAAAACATTTTGCGAAGTATTGTAAATTAAATGATGTTGTTTACTTTCAGGTGAAGTGTAAGAGTTTGAATAGAAGTGTGCAAGGCCAAATAACAGTAGTCATGTTGATAACTGACTTTTGTTAAGTGCCAGAATGAAGTTTAATCATATTTAAGACCATGCTATTTATTCAGGCATGTAGGATTTTCTCTGAACTGTTCTACTTGTATTTCTGCCTGAGCAGTGAGTAGATTTTCTTGAATAAACAAAATGTGGTCATTTTGCCAGGAAATAATAAATCTGTTGGCACCTTAAGGAACCAGCACAGAATGTAGCTGAAGTACCTGCTGAGCAGTTCTGTCGGGAAAGAGGAATGGGCCACAAAAGTCATACAAATACAATGACATCTCTTTGTCACCGTGACCTGAATTTCTCTTCTCTGTTGCACCTTACTGTTTCAATAGTTAGTTTTCCTTGGAGTTTTCTCTTCTTTGAGGAGTGGCATATTTTTCTTTCCTTTGTTCTTAAGAGCATATGTAGCTGCCTTTTTTCGCTTGTCATTTCCTCCATTTGTAGAGCAATTGATGTTATTCCTGACTTTTTTTCCTACCAAAACATAATTAATTTCCTAAAAATAAAAATTAAAAGAAGACTAAATGCTAAAGGAAAGGCTGTTTTGTAAGAAATATTTCAAATTTTCCATGGGAATTTTCAGAACAGAAAGTTTTCTTTTGGCTTTGGATTTTTGCTTTTGGCCATTTTCAAAATCTCCAAAAGTTGTATTTTCTTATTTGAGACTTCCGTTGTCCCCTTCTCTAGATCCTTTCTCCTCTGTTTGCTTTCTCTTGATGAAAAATACTATTTATTCTTCCCCATGGTTGAAATAGCAACAAAATAAGTACCTGTCTCCCTCTTGCTTTTGGACTTTGATACCCTTCAAATTGAAAAGAGAAGGGCTTTTTGAGTGATTAAGATAGGACAGCCCTTAAAAGTTGTTATAGAGTTAGACCATCTGCCTTGTGGCACAAATTCTATTCCTAAACTACTGATAATCGTAATGCTTTCTAACTGCTAAAGTTACATACAGTACAACTTTTAAAGCACCATTTCACCAAAAATAAATGAGATGATTAAAAAGCTAGGAAGGTGTTTTATTAATTATAAAGTAGTGCTTTGAATGGTTCTGGAATTCTGCAGGAAAGGAAGGAGTGTTTTTAAGAGTCATTGTTATTCGTAACGATGCTATATTGCAAGTACGTTTTAAGGAGTCTTAATGTTATTTAGTACTCTAGGGGTCAATGGATTGTTTTGCATGGAAATTGCATTCATACTGTGGTCGATCCTTACATGCTATAAATTATCCTCTAATCATTTTGTACTTTCTTCCAAGATAGACATAGGATTCCTACTTAATTTCTTGCTCTTTATTTTTTTCCTCCTGCCTAAGTCTCTTGGGAGGATTAATTAGAGTATAAAGTTACATAGCAAAAGTATTAAAAATACTTCATTTGTTTTAAGAGAAGTAAGCCTTTTTATTTGTTCCATAAAATCCTGTGGGCCATTACTTACAAACTATGACCTGGGGAGTCATGTTAAGTAATCCAAGTGTGCTTGTACCTGCATGCCTTGGCCACCAAGCAGCACTATGGCCTTTCCTCCATCATACAGTCTTCTGCCACATGAAGGTATATGGGTTAAAAAAAAAAGTACTGTGCATTATGGGTTTAAGGTATTTGTAGTACTTAGTGGTGAAAAAAAAAAAAAGGTTACCTTAATTGAGGTTTTCAATATTAGGCCAGTCTTGTTTCTAGCTATTTGGATTTGATGAGTGTTTTAAAGCCATGTCTCACAAGGCCCTCGTTGCTGTTGCTTGCCTCAATAGGATGTCAGTTCTTGGTGTTTTTATAGTTGCCCGATGAAGCCTACACAGGCATGCCTTTTGTTTGTTTTGAAAAGAGAGATTCCCATGAGGTAGGGGCCCACTACACTGCTTTGCTCTCTGGGGGACAAAGCAGATACTTGACTCCTGACACAGCCATCTTGTGAAGGTCTGTGTTTAAAGCTGAATACATGAGACAAATTATGTTACTTATTTTGCAAAGAGGGGATGAAATTATTGAAGTGCTCACTACAACAAATGGGTTTAGTAACTTGAGAGTATGTTTTTTGTTCCCAGCTGTATGCAACAGCATCCAGAATCCAGTCACGAAGGAGATGCTGTTTGAGTTCATTGACAGATGTACAGCAGCTTCTCAAGGACAGACGCGGAAACACCACCTCGATCCTGACACTGAACTCATGCCGCCTCCACCGCCCAAAAGGCCCCGTACCATAACATAAGGCCTTGGTCTCAGCGGATAGCGTGTTTACAGTTCTGCAGAAAGTGAAACGCAAGTGTAAAGGCTGGAAAAAAAGAAATCTGAATTGCTGTAAATACTTGGGAGTGGTTTTTTGAGTTTGTTTGGGGTTTGTGGGTTTTTTTTCAAATTCCACGTACAAATGGACATTGTTTTGTAACTGATAAATTCCACCTTACCTTATGGTATTTGAAGATGAAATTTCCAAAGCTTAGACAAGAACAGTACCATGAAGTCAATGGAAGGCTGCCTTGTTTATATACGGATCTCTTTTCACCTTTAATTTATAATGTCAGCAATCTGGAACTGAGAAAGCATTGGGATGCTGTACTTTTTAGAGGCTGTGTTTAAAAAAAAAAAGCAGAAGTGTTTTTTTTATTATTGTTATTCAACTGGTTGCAATTTGTCACCCATAGTATAACTGATCATAGTTTCCCTACGTTTCTGAGACTTGTGTTTCTCAGCAAACAGCAATGTTGTTTGTGCTCTGTGTTGGTTAAAATCTAAGCTGCCTTAGATTTCACTATTTTCAAAATTAGCTGGGTTTTTGTTGTTGAAATATTAAAAAAGCAAATCCTTCTTGTAAATAGCATCCCTTTGAAAGCAAATGTGCTGGGTGTTTGGTTTTTTCCCCTGTTTGAACCTAACACACCAAATGTATAGTGGGCTGATTTTAGCTTTGCCTTTTTAAGTTTATCTGTAGGTAAGGAGTACACCAAATCCTTAGTATTAAGGTCTCTGTTAAGAGACTGTTTCTAGTACAGGGCTTAGTTCTCCACAGTGATACCATTGTAAATATTACTAAAAAGTACACATCACTGTGATATGCAAGAGTAATAAGCAGCGCTAATCATGATGTCTTAGATCCAGGCACAAAATGGCAAAAGAAATGCCAGACAACTCCTGTGTGAAAGAGAAGGTAGTTTCAGTGGAAGAGAGCCACATCAGACAGAAAGTGTCCTGGTTTAGGTAATTGCAGGGCAAAATGAAGCCATTTAGTGGGGTGGATGAGTGTCCCAGGGAACAGAACACTCATTTTCAAGGGTGGGATCGGCTGTCCTGTGGCACCGTGCTCATCCTCTGGCTGACTTTCTTTCACACCAAATGAAGAAGCGCATGAATACCCTGATGGCTCTTGTTGCAGCGCACTGGCAGATGTTCATAATATTAATTTTGAGAAGCTGCATTCTGGTTGTCTAAGGGAGGAGTTGTTCTGAGCTGGGCTTAATTGGAAACCAAATGCAGATTTTAAAGTTTACTGTACATTTATCAAGCAAAGATCAAATTGGCTCTTTCTATAGTTTACTTAATGTGTGAGTCATCCTTTCATTCAGCAATCTGATTAGTGAAGCTCATTGATTTGTTATAACTAAAATGCATTTCTGTCTAAATGAGTTTTAATGCTTGTAAGCAAAATTGACTCCTGCATTATTTTTTTCTATATGGAAGCTTTAGGACTATGCTTTGTGGTGGCTTCTCTAGTTGTTTCAACCTGTTGTATAAAATGCACATGCCATCATTTAGATGGTGTTACTAGCGTCTGTTTCTGGGATATTCCGTATGTGTTTTAGAGAACTGAAGGAGTTATATAAGTCACTTTTTATACTATGGCAAAACTTGAGGGGAAAAAATGTGTTCATCAAAGTTCTTTTTTTCAACTGTATATAGTTTCTGCATATTATCTATAGAAAAGATATAATATCACCTATGCAAGGTTGCAAAATTATCTCCTAAAAAAGAGCCTTATGAATTTGATGTGAAAACCTATGCAGCCTCTGTGCATCTTGCATTGAAACACACAGTTAATTATTTCTTCGCTCAGTATAAATAATTTCCCCCAGATTATACTTGTCATTGAGATTGTCATAACATACACTTTGTCATTGATCTCATGGTTCTGTGGCAATTGCATTGTGTATGATGATTACAGCCTTCTCCATGAGGTTAGGACATTTTATTCTTGAAAGGAAGTGTCCAGGTTACTTCCGTCTTTCTCCTTCCCCGCCCTTGCATCTTGTATTTCAACAAGACCTAGCTTCTGGTTTACCTTTTACTTCAGAGCTGCAGCACCGCAAACTGTCTTCCATGTGCATTCCACCAAGTCCATGAATGTGTTGTGGTCCTTGTATTTTGACAGTATCTTTTTTTCTACTCTCAGCTTGAAATGCATATTTTGAAAGAGTAATGACTGAGAAGGTTTAGAGTTCCACGTTCACATTCAATTGTCAAACTCTTCTTGCGCTATGGCTTGTAGCTTTTTAGAGAGGCCAATTGCCTTTTACTTTCTGGAAAAGGAAGCTACTGGGGAAGGGTTGAATGAAGAACCTGATGAAAACAAATGGAATTTCACTTGGACCAGATGGGTTTAATGCTGTGAGAAATGCAAACCTCCTTTCTCTGCTACTAGATTTTCAAGAGATTGAAGCTAAGAAGCAGAGTCTGTGCCAGGAAAATAATGATGATAAAAAAAACCCTAACTTGTCTGTTCTTTGGTGTACAGCATGAATTCATCCACTGTTTTGTCATTTGTTAAATATATAATTAAAATCTAGTTTCAGTGGAGTTTCCAGAAAATGTAAGTACATTCCTCTACAAACTGTGTATTAAGTATTTTAATAAAGTCAATGGTTTAAAATACTTTTCCTAAGGATATGGTTACTTTTGATGCCTGTGCTTTCCTGGTACCAGTGCAAGCACAAGGATACTGTGGTGTTACTGCTGTTCAGTCCTCCAAGAAAATTATCCACATTTTTCAGAGGTCAGTGGCTTTTCTCTCAGGTAGGAGCCCCCCAGCCCAGTGGTGGCCATGACCCATTATGCCATTTTAAAGTACAATTTGCTCTTCCTGCGACTAGAACCAGAAAGAAACCAAATGGTGCCTGAAGTACATATTTTATGACAGGCTAACATTATGTAGCTTATCTATTCAGCATTAAGTGCAGTTGCATGAAAAGTTGTGCAAGAGGTCTGCATGGGTCTTCCCTGCCGGTTTATCATCCAGTATGACCCTAAAGCTGGTAGCCCACCTACTTGGACCAACTCCTGGACTTGGATTATAATAGGGCAGTTTCCTTTTTCAGGTTGCAGCTGTCTAGAGTGCATCTTTCAGGAACTAAAAAGCCCATCTGGATTTTTGAAATTCCCCTCCAGTTAAGATCCTGCCTCCACTCCTGGTATGTTCTTGTTACATGTGCAATTTCTGTGGTGCTTCTCTCAACCATTTCTGATTTTCTAGTGTTTGAGTGTGAATGCCAAACCAGAACTGGCATTTGAGCATACCTGGGGAGGTATGATAACTTCCCTAACCCCTACTCTGTACTCCCCTCTGAATGCACTAAGGAAGCAGGCTGATGTGCCCGGCTAGCACGTTGCACTGTGTAGTTCTTGCTTGTTGGCAAGCCACTGTGTTGGCTTGCTTGTTCACTGCAGCAGTTCTTTGGGATCCCCACTCCTCAGCATAGCAGCTCCTCCGTTTTGTGCCTAAGAGGTGTGACTATATTTGCGTAATGTGTAATACATAATTGCATCTTAGGATCCCAGAATATTCACAAAGGCGTTGGCACAGCAAGCTAATTTCCTACGATTCATCTGTAGTCAACAGAGAGAGAGTGAGAGCAGAAGTCCAGTTTGTTCCTCCTGCATCTCTCCTGCAGATGTCTGTCTGTCTGTCTCTTCAGTGTTTCCTCTCAATTCTGTTTCAGTCATAAGACGTGTGTCATTTTATGTTATTCCCCTGTGTTATTAGGATTTTGTAAGCACAGTGTTAAATATTTTTGAGGGTAAATTTCATAGCATCAAAACTCTTGCAGTGATCAATTAAATTTATAATCTCATTAAAAGTATCCCAATTAGTTGGTCAAGAGCTATTTATTTTCCATAGATTATATTGCTTTCCTTTGGACCTCTAATCAAACCCTAATCAAAGCAGTTCTGTTAACTTGCATGAGAGTAACATTTGACTGAAGTGCCTTAAATAGCCAGATCGCTTCCGTCCTCCTACACAGTGGCACAAGGCTTGCTCTCGCCTTGCCTGGGGACCGCTGCACGTTCCAAGGTTCACAAAACCCTACAGAGTTTAGATTTCACCTGTATCCCTTTGTTTCCAGTGTCAAATTTCTGTGATCTGTGCTTACGACGTAGCTCCTCGAGTTTGCATTCCTCTGTTACACCTACCTACCTACCTACCTACTCGTTTTTCGAGTTGTCCCGCCATCATGTGTGAGACTGAGAGAAACCTGTACCCCGTGGCTGGCCCTCCGCTCATGTTCCTTGAGGGCAGTGCTGCACTCCAAGCCTGTACGCTCATCCCCTTACGATACCAGCCTTGACGATTGATGGATGGGGCAGTACTGCCCCTGTAAGTCATGCTTGCACAGGGAAACCAAAGCAGCATCTACCAGCTGTGACAGTATGCATCGTATGAGCGAGGAGCCTTTTCCCCTTCCCATCCTCATGACCCCGTCTCTCTATTTCATGTACAAACAAAGATAAGTCATACTCTTTGTGCTGACACCTGGTTCAATTAGTTAATGTTTGCAGTGGGAATATAGGTTAGCTCTCTTTCTGCTTCCCTGGTGAGAGTCCGCTGAGCTTCCCAACAAGCCAATATCTCTGTTCAGCTACAGAGATCTGTAGGGCTGAGGCTGGAGGTTGAGACACTTACAAAGCAGTTTTTCCTCAGTCAGAGCTCATTTTAATCTGGTTTATTTCAATCCATTGTCAGCAGTAGGGAGGTAGATAAGCATGTTGTAACCAGCACCAGTATGAGAACCTTCCAGTGATGTTGGTGCATCCAGAAGTGTGAAAATGTGGAAGACACTCAATGAACTTGGTGAGGGAACAATAATCATTTTGAGGTTTTTTGCAATACTGGAAAAAATAAAATATTAATCATTTTTCATAAAATCAAATTATAGTCAAATTGACTCCCATGATAGGAATTTATTTAATCAGAAATACTGTTCATGTCCCCTTTCTCCCTCCTCCTCCTCCTTTTCCTCCTCCCTCAGTATCTTTGTGTCTGTTTGACTAGCAGAAAGCACACAAATTGGGTTCAGCAGCATTCATCTATGATACTTTGAGAAAATTAAATTTTGATTAACTCTTCTACTCAGAACTTCCTCTAATGTGAGAAGGCAATAAGGTTATCATACTAAATAGGTCTGTAT